TGATTAACTTCCTAAACAATGTTTATTTTATGTTTGAGAGAGAGTGCACAGGCAAACAGGGGAGGGGTAGAGAGAGAGGGGGACAGAGGATCTGAAGCAGACTCCGTGCTGACAGCCAAGAGCCCTGTGCGGGGCTCAAACTCACAAACTGGTGAGATCATGACCTGAGCCGGAGTCGGACACTTAACCGACCGAACCACTCAGGCACCCCCTTCCTAAGCTTCCTAAAACAGTTATCTACCTTTTTAGCCTGCCAGTTTTATCTAGTATCAGACATCCATGGTAGGGAAGTCAAGTAAATTTCATCTTTTGTGCCTACTTTGTTTAGTTGATAGTGGTTCCCTACAATGTTCTGCTGAGGAGTTTTCAAATATATTTATTTGTAAAGTTTACTTATTTTTTGAGAGAGAGCACAAGACAGAGAGAGGGGGACAGAGGATCCAAGGTGGGCTGTGTGCTGACAACAGAGCCCGGTGTGGGGCTCGAACTTGCAAACTGCGAGATAACGACCTGAGCCGAAGTCAGACACTCAACCCACTGAGTCGCCTGGGTGCCCCAAGGATCTTGAGGCTATGTTAGGCTCAGGGAGAAAGAGATCAGTGGCTGATTAGCAATGTCTGCCTTGGACTTAGCAAAGAAAAGTGGTAATTCCTATTTGGAATTTGAATGCATGTCTGTTTGATTACTTTTTCACATGATCTCTCCTCCTCCACCGTGCATACATACCACTTGATACGTGACTTACACACTGCATGGTTTTTTGTTTTGCTTATTTTTTAATTCCAGTAGAGTTAACACAGTGTTAAATTAGTTTCAGGTGTACCATATAGTGATTCAACAATTCTCTATATTACTGGGTGTTCATTAAGATAGGTGTACTCTTAATCCCCTTCACCTAGTTCCCCTCTCCCTCCCCCCCCCCTTTGGTAACCATCTGTTCTCTACAGTTAAAGAGTCTATTGGTTTGTCTCTTTTGTTTCCTTTGTTTGTTCATACACACTCCATTGTAGGCACTGGATTTTGTGCACAACAAGGGCTCAGCACAATTCAGCAAATGTTTGTAGAGACACTTGGAGAACTCCAAGATACAATGCTCTGGAGAATCCTCTCCCGCCTGTGTTTGCTTTATCTCTGGGGCTTTTATCTCCATACCTTGGGGAAGGGGTGGGGGGGGGGGGAGTCTGTGGACATTAACTGTTGTTTAAGAGCTACCTCTTTGGCTTCAAGAGAGCCGCTTTGTCACCCTGAGGACCACTGTCAGATTCTCACCATATCCCAAGCACTATGCTGCTGCTTTAGACACACTCTTATTTCGCAAATCCCCACAGCAGCCAATGATATAGGTATTATTTTCTCTGCCAGAAAGCTTTCTGTTGCAAGAAATGTGAAACCTGACTAAAACTGGTTTAAATGATCAGGGAATTGATGGGTTCTGCAACAGGAAGGCCAAAGGCAGCTTGATCCACTCCCGAGTCCATTTTACCTCCGCTGTATCCTAGATGTCCGTGGAGGCTGTTCTTGCCTGAGGCGGTTGGAGTGGGGCCAACAAAGAAAACTCAAGTAGCCTTGTGATTTGGAGGAGAGGCCTAAAAGCATACATCCTATGAGCTAGAGGATTGGGTGGACTGTGCGTACCCTTCTCAAATTTAGTTTGTGGGTCCTACACCTCAGTATTTTAATTTGTCTCTGCTCTCAACCACAAGAATGCCTACCAGAAACTTTCTCAGCGTTTCAGTAGCATTTCCTGGAGGAAGCACAAACAGGCTTTTTGAAAGGCTACTGCTCATGCACTTGCTCAGCAAACCCTGAGCTTCTGCTTTGTACTATGAATGTCATACGCTGTGTCTGGTGCTGGGGGCACAGAAATGAAGCAAACCCATGTAAACCGCTTAACTTTGACCATAGTGTGGTAAGTACAGCCATAGCATGGTAAGCAAAATTCTGTGGGAACCCAGACTTACATTAGACCATATAAATGTTAGTCTAGTTCGTTTCCAGTGCTGCGGCCATCATTTCTGTCAGAATTCCATTCTTGACTAGAAATTCTATTGGACACTTGTCAGTTCTATTACTTTGGCTATTAGAACAGTTTTGAAATAGTCAGCATTTTGCCTTTTGCTGTGACTTGGAAGCAGAACACCATGACAGGGGATTTTTGATTTTTGATTTGCTGAGCTGGGGCCCCAAACAGTTTAGGCAACCTTACTTTGGTAAAATGGAACTTTTTTTTTTTTTTTTTTTTTTTTTT